CAGCCTTTGCTGCAACAGTGGCCGCAGCCCCTTGCGATCCGGCACGGCAGCACGGCTGCGGGATGCTGCCCTCCCGCCCTGGAGGAGCTGCAAGCCCGCACCGTTACCCAGTGCATTGCTATGCCTCACGTTAGCAGGCAGCTCATTATTAAGTTGCCTGCGCTAATTAATTAGCAGGGTTGCTGGGAGGCCACGGAAAGCGGGTGCTGGATGCGGCCGGTCCAGTTTCACCGTGGTGCTGCCGGCGACTTTGGGAGAGCGGCATCGTTTCCGCCTTGCTCGAAATCCTCCCTCACCAAATAGCATTAAATATTCCTGAGCTGTGAAAGTCTTGGACTGATTCTGTTTTCCATAAATAAACCTGTTTGGAGATATTTGGAGATGGGCCTAAGCTGCAGAGCTTGGAACGGCTCCCGAAGCCTGTGGCTGTTTGGGCTCGAGGCTTCGGTGCGGGACGGATCTTCCTTTACTGCACTGGGCGCTGGGGCCGGACGGGCCCCTCCGAGGGTCCCCGGGGTGAACAGGAGCATCCGAAGGGATTTGGCTGCTCCGGGGCTGGAGGGGCCGCCATGTGGAGCAGGGCACTTGGCAGACTGGGTGCAAAGAAAGAAGGAACGAGCCCCTGCTCCGCTCGTTTTCCAACGAAAACGGGAGCCGGGGTGTCAATTCCTTCCCTGTCCGCGGGCGCCGCACGCTCGCCGCTCATGTGGCGCGCGCCTGATGGGCTGCGACAGGCGCGGGATTGCTCCTTTGGAGCGCCGCAGCCTCGCGAGCGACGGATGGTGCCGGCCCGCCCGGCCCCGCGCCCGCGCAGGGCGCGCGGAGCGCCCGGGATGCGGCTCCGGGATGCGGCTCCGCTGCTCCGGGCGCTAAAGGCAGCGCAGCCCCCGAGGAGGCCTCGTCCTGCGCGCGGCTGCGGCCCCGGGGGACGCGGAGGCAGTGAGCAAGCAGCACGTGAGGGACGCTCGTCCTAATCGCGGTGCTTAACGCGCCCCTGCGAGGCGCCGCGTGCGCCCGCGCCGGGACACCCGACTGTCCGCCCTGCTTCCCTCGGCCAGGACTGCCGCCCCGGGCCGGGGCTCCGAGTGCCCCTGCGGGCAACGCGCCCCATGTCACCTGTGCACCCGAAAGAGGTCCAACAAAAGCGGGAAGCGGCCCCTCGGATGCCTCTCAGGGCAACCTCATGGGGGAGGTTTGTGGCCGTGGCCGGCAGGGCTCGCGCGCCCGGGGATGGCTGCGCCGGGGGGACGCGGCAGCCGCTGATTGACTCGGGGGCTCCGCGCGCACGAATTCCCGCTCCGCACGGCCCCAGCCGGAGCAATTACGGAGCGGAGCGCGGGCGCTCGTGCGGCGCCTCGCGGCAGGCCGGGGCAGAGGTGAGCGACCCGCGGCCCCGCGCGTAATGGGAGCCGGCGGCAGCCGCCCAGGGCTCGCGCGCCGTAATTGCCGCGGCCGGCGGCGCGGGGCCCGCTCCCTAATGATGCCCCGGCCCCGCGCCGCCCACGGGGGCCGGCGTTGAGGCTTATTGGGGGCTCTTGGGTGGGAGAGGAGCAGCGTGATCCGCTCGGGCGCCTTCGGGAGATGGTGGCTCGTAGGTATGGCACAGGGATGTGGTTCAGCTGGGTCGCGTTGACCCCCACCCTGTTACATTTAGGAGGACAAGATGGATATATTTGAGACAAATAATTAGTAGGGAGGGGAAAAAATGGATTGTTTAGGATGGGAATAAATCCTGCAAATTTTCAAGCGCCAGCCCCGTCCGTGGGAGGCAGCCCGCCTCGGCCGTCCCGTTCCCATTCCCTGCTTTCCGCTGCGTGCCCCGAGCCGAGTGTCCTCGTCGCTGCCGAGGCGGCGATTAGACATTCCAGGGACGGCGGCAGCGGGCGGGCGGCGCTCACCCGCAGGTCGGCAGAGCCGCTCGGCTCCGCGCCGCGCGCTCCCCGGGGACCCTGCCTTCATTTGCCGGCCTGACCCGGGGCTGCCCGGGGAGCAGAGGTCGCCGCACGCAGCGCGGCCCCCGGATTCAATCACGGGCTGCCCCGGGGCCACGACGTGCCCAGGCACACGCGCCGCTCGCCGCCCTTTGGACAGCGGGAAATTCTCCCACCATTTTTCCAATGAGCATCCTGCGCTCTGCCCCGTGCTGCCGCGTCTCCGGCCACCCCTTCCTCCTCAATTCGCCAATATTATATCTGTTTATGAGTTGATCTCAGGCGGAGAAGCTGCTCCCACCCCGGAGCGGGGAGCATCTCCCACCCGCTCCCACCTGGAGCATCCCCCAGCGCCGCCGCCACCCGGATAATGAGAACCCGTTTAAAAAACTTAAAGCCTCTTCCTGCGTGCGGTGACTGACACAAATGGAGTTCGTATTTAATCATCTGTTAACTCGTTGTCTATTATAGCTCTTTAATAGCACCATAGATATTCTTAATGAAGCATGATTTAAGGTATTTACAGCTCCAGGACCGACAGACATCACTCACAGTGTGCAGGTAATGAGGCATAAAACAGCTCTGGAAACCGTAAAAATGGGAGAGAGAGCGCGAACGAGCGAGGAGCTCGCGCCGGAATCGTTCCCGGGTTTGTTTTAAAATGTTTAGGCATTTAAAGTCATTTCAGCTTTTCCGAGGTGTCTGCGAGCAGCGGGTTCAGCGGGTGCCGCTAACCCCTGGGGTGCCGCGGCCGGCAGCGGCCGAAGGGCAGCGCGGGTTTGAGGAGGAAAAGCGCGTTTTGCAGCCGCGCAATTAGCTGGGGGAGAGCGGGCCGGTGCGGTGGCAGTGCTGTCCCAGCTGTGCCCGGAGCGCGCACGGCCCTCTTGCTTGCAAATATCACCCTGCCACATCCCGGCTCTGTCCCCATTAAAAAAAAATAGCAGCCCACACACACAAAAAAAACCAAAAATCCGCCCAAGCCCAAGCCAAGATTGGGAAAATGATTTGTGACTGAGGTGCCACTCTGCATCAAAATATTGTCTCGGGAAATGTCAGATGTCACCAATCCATATGTCCCCCCGCGTGACAGTAATTGGGTTGGAAGGCGACGGCGGCTCTTCCCGGTGCCGGTGCCGCGATGCTGCCCGCGGCCGGAGCAGAGGGGGACGGGGACAGCGCGCGGAGCTGGCGAGGCGAAGCCGGGATGTTGTCCCGCTGCGCTATCCCGGCCGGGTGCCTCTTGGGACGGCCGCTCTCCTCGCTCCTCGCGGGGAGCCCGGGGCCGCTCCGGGCATCCCTGCGGTTCCCACGGCAACGGCTCCGGAGGCGCCCGCTCCGCGCAGCCGTTGCCCCGGCGCTGCCCCATCCCTGCGGATCAGCAGCGGGAATGCCGTGCGCGCCCCGCATCCCAGCCCAACCCCGCGGCCCGGAGCCGCAAGCGCCGCCACCTTGGCGGGCCGCAATCTGCAGCGCGCGGCGCGCCTGCTGGTACCTCCGCTTGCACTCTTGCCGCGTGTTTGCTGTTATTTTTTAACACTTTCCCCCCCCTCCTTTATATTTTTTTATATATTTTCTTTTGCATCGAAGCACTCCCTCTCCCCAGAGCCTGCCGGCAGCGAAGGCATGGTCTGTGCAACTGCAATTATTGCGAGGAACAGATGGAGCGCGGAGCAGAAAGTCTGTTAATAGTAATAGAGATGCCGCGCGTTAACCTGGCCAGCACACGATGACAGTCCCATGACTACGCGTTCTGTTCCCACCAGCTGGGCTCCCGCAGCGCCCGCTCCCCCCGGCCGCAAATTCCTTCACACGCTGCCGCTCCAGGCTTTTTCCCCCTCCCGCTCCATGGCGCATCCCGCCTCGGCGCTTCCCTTTCCCGGCATCTGGGGCTGTGCAACCAGGGCCTGATCCCTGAGGTCCCACTAGAGAGCAGGTCCCATAGCGAGGAGCTTGCAGGATAACCCGGCCCTGCATTCTTGCCAGGTCCCCTGGCGTTCGGAGCTCGTGCCAAGCCCATCTGCGTGCCATGGGCACCAAAATAGCCGTGCCAGTCCTGCCGCACGTGGATTGTGCCGCACGCTTTCTCCCAGAGCCATTTGCGGGATTGCATGGGCGCTTGCTCCTGAAGCCGTTTGTGAGATTGCATCGTGCGCTCGCTCCCGGAGCCGTTTGCAGGATTGCACCATGCGCTCGCTCCCGGCGCCCTTTGTGGGATGGGTGCACGCTCGCTCCCGGAGCCGTTTGCGGGATTGCACCGCGCGCTCGCTCCCAGCGCTGTTTGCGGGATTGCACCATGCACTTGCTCCTGGAGCCGCTTGCAGGATTGCACCACGCGCTCCCTCCCGGAGCCGCTTGCCGTGCCCTGGGCCTGCTGCCAGGGCCAGGCTGCTTGCAACACTGGTGCTGAGGGCCAGGGCCGGGCTCCCCGCCTGCGGCTCAGGTTGCCCAACTCGCAGGTGTGCAAGCGGGGAGAGGCTTTGCCCGCTTGGGAATGGCCGGGTGTGTCGGCAGCCGCACGGCGGCTCCGGAGCAGCGCGGACACGCGAGCCCTGCGGGGCTGCAGGGCCGGGGACCCTTGGCTTTCCTCCCCATCCCGCTGCCTGCGTGGGAAATGAGCCCCGCGTCCGGGACAAGAGGGATGTGGAGCTGCTGGAGAGAGTCCAGCGCAGGGCTACGAGGATCCTCAGGGTCCTGGAAAGTCTGCCCTGTGAGGAAAGGCTGGGAGAGCTGGGCCTGTTCAGCCTGGAGAAGAGAAGGCTGCGGGGGGACCTGAGCAGTGCCCATAAATACCTTTCTTGATGGTGAAGGTGCCAGAGCCTGGAACGGGCTGCCCAGAGAGCTTGTGGAGTCTCCTTCTCTGGAGATCTTCAGAACCCACTTGGGTGCAGCCTGTTCCACACATTACAGGTGACCCTGCGTGTGCAGGGAGGTTGGGCTAGGTGGCCTCTAAAGACCTCTAAAATCCTTCCAACCTGAAGAATTCTGGGGTCGCAGGGCCCATAATCTTTTGGGGCCAGGCCACACGCTGGTGCCCGCGCTGTGCCCACTGTGCACCCCCCTTTCTTGCAGGACAAGAAGTACGTGTTGGTCATGGTGGACCCGGACGCTCCCAGCCGCGCCGATCCCAGCCAGCGCTTCTGGAGACACTGGCTCGTCAGCGACATCCGGGTGAGTGCGCGAGGGCTGCTCGGCCCGGGCCCGCTGCTGCTGCCGCTGGGCACGCGCGGCTGCTTGCCACATGTGTCACTATGGTGCCAGCTATACGCGTTCCTACAGTGCTGCCTATATGTGTTCCTATGGTGCCAGCTATATGCGTTCCTAAGGTGCTCCCTGTATGTGTTCCTATGCAGCTAGCTGTACCCATTCCTAAGGTGCTACCTATACGTGTCCCTATGGTGCCAGCTATATGCGTTCCTACAGTGCTGCCTATATGTGTTCCTATGGTGCCGACTATACGCGTTCCTAAGGTGCTGGCTATATGCGTTCCTATGCTGCCAGCTATATACATTCCTACAGTGCTGCCTATACGTGTTCCTAGAGGTTTGCCGTGCGTGTTCCTATGGCGCTTGCTGGATGTGTTCCCATGGTGCTTGCTCTAAGCAATCGGATGCCGCTCGCCGTATGCATTGCTCTGTGCTTGCTATGTGCACTTGTACGGTGCTTGTTGTATGCAATTACATGCTGCCGGCTATATGCAGTTCTATATTGCTCGCTGTGCTGATTCCCGAGGGACTTGCTGCATGTGCTTGTGTCGCTTGCTCCGGGGGGTTAGGTACCGCTCGCTGTACGCGGTTCCAGGTCACTTGTCGGGAACAGGGACATGTCACTTGCTGTAGGCACTTGGTGTCACCTGCTCTATCTGCAATTCCCCGGAGCCAGGCTGGCCGATGCACTGCGCAGGGAGCATTACGTGCCATGCTCAGCCCCGCCGCTCCTCCTTCCCAAAGATTCCCCAAGATTCCCCAAGATTCCCCGCAGCCCTGGTGCGCTGGCCATTCAGAATGGCATTCCCACTGCAATTCCTATGTGGATCCGGAGTTTTGCCATCTCCTGCCTGCCTAGAAACCCAGCAAGCAGCTCGGTCCTCCCTGGCTCGCTTTTATGTTTAAAAGATTAGGTGTTTCCACCCTGAATCAATCTAGCTAATAATCTGAGCGCTGAAGTCTAATTAAGATATCAATTAATTTGCTGCACGCATTTAATAAGAAATATCTAGTTATTCTCCTCTATTATTCTCTGAAAGTACTGCTAAGGGCTTTTTGTACAGATACCTTAATTAGACTTTTTATTGTTAATGGGAATATTGAGCAAATTAAAATTGGATATTAATACTTCCCATGAATTTCATAATTGATGGAAAAACCACAAAGCATTCCGAAGAATTGCAGAGATTTGTACAGAGGGCTTTCCTTTCTTTTCTTTACCCAGCACAGAAACCTTCTGCATTTCTAACAACAGGGTCCTGGAAGTCGCTCATTAATTTTAGCATTTAGGAATTGCTGGAGCCCAAGTTCTCCCGTCCCTTATGCGTCCGGATCCTTCTGCAGCCTCCGCTCCCACTCACTGCTGCATCCTTCTCTCTCCCCTGGTTTGAGCAGAGGATGCTTTAGTGGAGGAGAGACGTGCAGGAGCGTTAATGCTGGGAATTGACTCTGGGAAGTGCAGAGGTTGGAGGCTCCGAGCGCAGCAGAACCTCGATGCTCCAGAGGCTCCTTCCCATGCGCCATGCACACATGCCGCTTCAGGCCAGACCTGGATTTCCGCCGTTTTGCCTGGCCACGGCTCCGGGAGAAAGCCTGTCCCATGGGAAAAGCCGAATTTCCTGCACGTGCAGCCCCCTCGGAGGGGAGCACGCCCTGCTGTGCCGCCGTGGCCCGGGTCGGCTCGGCGTTCCCAGCGGAGCCTCCGCGCGGCAGCCGCCAAGGATGCCTCTGCTGCCGCGCAAAATAATTTAAATAAAAACGTTGCTGCAAAGTGGAATAATATCTTTTGATGAATGTTTTTAAAGCCCTTTAGGTTTTCCTGGTAATTTGCAGTGTAAAATTATTTAGAGATAAGAGCCAAATTAGCTCTTATAGGCGGAGGTCGATATGTCCCGTTATCCGTGCAAGCAGTGTTTAAATATAATCAGCCTTTACTCTAATGCAGCATAATTGTTCATTTGAAATAGCTCTTTTTTTTTTTGCCTTTTTTTTTTCACTCCATTCAATGAGTCATTAAAATATTCAAAGGATAATGCAGTGAATTGGAAAGGAATTTATCCCATTATCCTGCATGTACCATGGAGCCTCAGGTAGGCAGGCAGAGTCGGAAGCGGTTTGAGGAGCAGGCGGGTAGACAGGCTCCGAGCTCTGGAGCCGGGCACGGCGGGAGGAAGCGTTGGGGAAAACACGGCTTTTCCAGGGTCGCATTCCCTCTTCATCCCAGGATGCGGTAGCAGCTGCTGATGCTGCAAAATCTGTGCCGTTCAACTGTCTTTTTCGCCAAAATCCGTGACTGGCAGGAGGTTGTTATGGAAACGGGAGCAGGGGGAAACTGAGGCAGGCACAGAGCAGGCACCGTCCCCCACGTATCTCATGGTGGCACCGGGAATGTTGCTAGGTCCCCATCCATCCGACTGGTCCCTGTCCTTCCGTGTGGTCCCCATCCCTCTGCCTGGTTCCCATCCCTCTGCCTCGTCCCCATCCCTCCACCTAGTCCCCATCCTTCCACACGGTCCCCATTCTTTCCTGTGGTCCCCATCCCTCCTCCTGGTCCCCATCCCTCCTCCCGGTCCCCATCCCTCTGCCGCGGCACCAGGCTGCGCACGTCGCCATAGAAACGGGGCTCTCAGGCATCTCCGACTCGCTTAACTGGAGAACTTGGGGCGCGCTCGCACGCGAGAGGCAGCAGCGGGTATTAAGCCTAGATTAAGAAAATCTGGGTTAATAAAAGCTCAAAGCAGCAGCCAAGGAGGCCGCAGCGAGGCCACGGGCCCCGTGCCCCGTGCTGCGTCCACGGGGCGCAGGGGCGACGCGGTGCCCGTCCCTGGCACGTGCTGCGCCGCGGCCCCGCGCGCCGTGTCGCGGGCTGAGTGTCAGCGCGATTATTCATGCTCTGCAAACAGATGGGGCTTAATTGCTGCTACTGTCAGGTTCCCTGCAAATACCGTGTGAAAAGGGCTTTTTGGCTAATTGTTTTAAAATAAAAGTTCAGGAGCAGCGTATAGAAATTACGGATCAAATGCATTTCAGAGATCAAACTGTTTATATTACCTTTAAATATAGTCTTTAGCCGGTGGCACCCGGACGGGTGAGTGACTGCTCGGCACAGAGCCACCTCGGGGCCTGCGCACAGCAATTGAGCTCTTCCCTGCGCTCTGCCGCTCACGGGCCACCTGAGCGCAGCATCTTGCAGAGCCTGCGGCCTCCGCCTCATCTCCTCTTGGGATGCTCCGTCCGTCCGATCTTGGGATGCTCTGTTCCTTCCCTGTTTGGGCTGCTCCGTCCCGTGTGCCCTTTTGGGGAGGGAGAGGGGAAATGGCACTAGCCGAGCGCTGGAAGCCACACGCAGGGTGATGGGCTTGGCTACGTTCATTTATAATCCCTTCCTCTGGTAGGGCTGGATTTAGAGCGCTTGGAAATAATCCCATTTTTTCCCCATGGAATAGCCCTACAGGACTGTGGAGACCGGAGCGCATCACTCCCAGCAGCCGCTCTATTTGGCAGGGATTTCAAAAGCACAGGATGGGCCAGATTTGGGTTTGGGAAGAGCAGAATTGAGCCGAGTTGGGCATCACCACCTTACCCAGCCCTTCTCTGGTCTTTTCCAGAGGCCTTTCCCTGCATTTCCCTTTTCCCAGTGCTGCTCTTGGCCTCGAGAGCCCCCTGCCCTCTCCCCGACACCGGTTTGGCCAGCGACGCAAGCTGAGCGACCCGAGCACACACAGGGATGGCATCCCGGCATCCCGGCATCCCGGGACCCGCTGTGCCGGCGCATCCCGCGCCTCCGGAGGCGGCGGGGGCCGGGCGCTTCCCGGGTCTGCCTGGCGGAAGAGCCTCCCCTCGATGACTAACGGGGCCTGTGTGGGAGAGCCGGGAGCCGGAGGAGGGAACTCCTGCAGCATCCCGGGCGCTTGCGGCACATCCCGCGTTGCCGGAGCAACGGGAGGCAGGCGGGGACTTCCCCGCGCCGGGGTGACTCGCGCGCTGATGCGGGCGGAAAATCGCTCCCAAGGAGAAAAAAAAAGAGCCGGAGCTGTGACTAAGCAGCACAAGTTATGTAAAAGCGCTGGGGAGTGCAGGGGAGGGGGAGAAATGCCCGTGCCCCCCCGGCGCCCGGGATGACCGCGGTGCCCGCTCCTGCTCCCGGGATGTGGCTGCATCCCACTGCTGTGTGCAGCTGCATCCCAGTACTGCATGGCTGCATCCCAGTGCTGTGCACGGCTGCATGCCAGTGCTTTGCACGGCTGCATCCCACTGCTGTATGGCTGCATCCCACTGCTGTACGGCTGCATCCCACTGCTGTGCACAGCTGCATCCCAGTGCTGCACAGCTGCATTCCAGCGTTGTGCACGGCTCCCTGTGATGGGCCTTTGCTTCCATGCTTCTCCTTGCCGTTTGCACCAGATCCGCACGGGATGGTGCTCCCCGCAACATCAGCCAGATGTACAGCGAGGTGCCCGGGAAGCCTGGGGCTTCCTTTGGGAAGTGCACAGGGTGCCGGGAGCTGCATGGCTCCCAGGGTAGGGAATGCGGGGGCTGGAGGGAAGCCCCAGCACTGTCCTTCTCGGGGGCCGGTGAGTCAGCGCAGGGGAGCCTCGCGCTGCTGGGATGCTCCATCCCAGCTCCTCACGACTCGGCCCACAGCCCCGCGTTGCTATGGAGCCCCAGGCAGCAGGGCTGCAGGGAACAGGGGAGGAGGAAGGGAAGGGGGGGAAGCTCCAGAGCTGCCGCGGGGGATCTGCGGCACTCCGGGGCCTGGGACATGCGGGATAGCCTGGCAAAGGAATCCTCTGCACGTGGAAAAGGGCTGGTGCTTTGGCACATGGTGCAGTGCCAGAGCTGCCAGGGACCCGGGTGCTGCTCCCTAATGCGGGCTGAGCCTGACGGGAGCATCCCCTGTTCCTCTCTGGAGCGTTACCCATTGCTCACAGGACCCACACGGACAGGATTGAAATGATGCTTGAG